GGACAATATTTGGCCGAGATACAACTATTTGCAAATCTGGAAACTGAGGGTGCAAAAAAATCAAAATATTGAAAAAAATTGCCTTTAAAGTTGTCCAAATGAAGTTCTTAGCTGTGCATATTACTAATCAAAAATTAAGTTTTAATATATTTACAGTAGGAAATTTACAAAATATCTTCATGGAACATGATCTTTACTTAATATCCTAATGATTTTTGGCATAAAAGAAAAATTGATAATTTTGACCCATACAATGTATTTTTGGCTATTGCTACAAATATACCCCAGAGACTTAAGACTGCTTTTGTGGTCCATGGTCACATATATTAAAATAGAAAACAGTTATTTTAAATTGTAATCATTATTTTACAATATTACTGTTTTTACTGTATTTGATCAAATAAATGCAGCCTTGTTTGTGCTTAAGTTTTTCTTCAAAAACATAAAACAAAAAATCTTACTGACCCCAAACTTTTGAATGGTACTGTATAATTTCTTTTTACTGTGCATTGTAAAATTATATATAATAATGTGACATTTGTAATATAAATGTCATCCTGACATTTAGGTCTTCGTATTCAGCATTTCATACCCTCGCTTACAGTCCATAACCTGCCATCAGTATCACAATTATTCACTTTAGAGTTAGTATGTGGCATACAGAGTACCATGTCCGTGACAACGTAAGTCAGATGAGTTGGTGTTGACACAGCTGGAGGTATTTTTCACCATTGTTGGCAGCTTAAATCAAGTCTTTCTTCTCCTTTTTCGGAAACACTTTGATGTTAAAACACTACTCATACCTGAGCATGTTCATGGTGCCGCACCTGGCATTAAACTAAATGCACAAAGCGAGGTGCAGTCACACAATACAGAGAAAAGAAAGCGGAAGAAACAAGAAGCCAAGAGAAAGGGTAGAATAGAGAAAATGAGAGACATTGTCCACAAAGATGTTTCAATTGTTTGTTAAAACACAAGCATGACGTTTCAAAGAATCCATCATGTAAGATGCATTCTTAGTTGGTCCCAGTGGGAATAAACAGTGTCACATTTGACACTCACAGAACTGATTTATGAAGCCTAGAGTTACTGAGCGGAAGTGATTTTTCCCCCAATGCCTTTCGTTGATTCTGTTTACACAGGGAACGTCTTGGTTACGTATGTAACCCTCGTTCCCTGAAGGAGTGAACGGAGACGTCACGTCGGAGGACCCATTTCAGTTTTTTTTTTCCTGCTACGAATTTCATCAGCAAATTAAATTGTTTTCTTGACTAATGACACGACCTTACTAGAAGTCATGCAATTACATTCAATTTTACAGCATGAATCAGACAGATAAAATATCCAGTTCTCCCTTCAACACGCTCCTACAAAATGATACTGGTGTACTCTGAGCAAATCAGAAATTAATTTGGTTATTTGAGTGTGTGTGTCCTACCAGATTTGACAGCAGATAATGAGCTGAGAGAAGTAAACAGTTATTTAATGGATCACCTAATTACCAATAACAGTAATTAAAAGCCAACAAGATGATGTTACTTGTGTTCTGTTGTTTTTCCCAGGTCGAAACTATGCGCAAAAGGAGCCAATGCTTCCTCTTCCATCAGCTCAGAGGTCAGACCCATTTCAGTTTTTTTTTTCCTGCTACGAATTTCATCAGCAAATTAAATTGTTTTCTTGACTAATGACACGACCTTACTAGAAGTCATGCAATTACATTCAATTTTACAGCATGAATCAGACAGCATGAATCCAGTTCTCCCTTCAACACGCTCCTACAAAATGATACTGGTGTACTCTGAGCAAATCAGAAATGAATTTGGTTATTTGAGTGTGTGTGTCCTACCAGATTTGACAGCAGATAATGAGCTGAAAGAAGTAAACAGTTATTTAATGGATCACCTAATTACCAATAACAGTAATTAAAAGCCAACCAGATGATGTTACTTGTGTTCTGTTGTTCTTCCCAGGTCGAAACTATGCGCAAAAGGAGCCAATGCTTCCTCTTCCATCAGCTCAGAGGTAAACAGTCATCATATGTTCTTCTTTCAGATGGACCCCACCTTCATGAAAGATGAGGAGGAGTTTGTACTGCATTCAGGGTCCAAAATGTTTCCCCACACTTGGCAATGTCGGGTGAATTGATTAAATGTACCATCCATAAATGATGCATATTGGGCATGAAACTGAAATTAAAATGTATTTTGGATACAAAATATTGCGTATAAATTATTTTAAGCTTTATTATTTAAATTCTAAAAATTACTCCTTGCATATTATATATTTAAATGCGTGTCTGCGTGTGTGTGTGTGTGTGTGTGTGTGTGTAGATAAGCAGACTTGATCTCTCACAGAAAATGTGAATGCACAGTGATTTTGTGCTGTCATTTGCTGCTTTGGCGGCTGATTATTTTGGTATAAATAATGTGAGCTATTGTGTTGTAGGTTCCAGAAGGAGTGCTAAATTCAGCGGCAGATGTGAGTGAACTGCAGATGGTTTCTCCCAATCACTTGGAGCAGCAGCCGGGAACAGTGAACAACAACAACAACCGTTCCCTCAACAGCAGTCTGTCCCATACAGGTGCTTAGTGTCTCTTTATGGTCCCACTGCCTCATTCTGTTTTCCCTTCCACATCACTCTCTCTCTCTCTCTCCCTCCTCTTCGCTCTCCCCCAGATGGATTGTTTTCTTCATTGATGTTGTCAGATGAAGGAAGCTTTGGGGTCACTGGGTATTTTGGTGAAGCTGTGGAGTTCATTTGTCCCCTTTCTGAACCTATACATTGAGATTAATTAGTCTTTTCTAGGAACAGACAAAGGCTAAATTACTGTAATTCAAAAACAGTATAACAAGACTACCAGAGCTCCATTATGGGGTAGATTGCAGAAAAATTAATTTCCTCCTGTGTTCAAAGCACATGGAAGTAATTATAAAACAATATAATTGTTAAAAGAAGTTTTTTAATCTTAAATGAAACCTGTTCAATGTAAACAATGTAAATAAATAACAATCCATTTAAAAACAGACGTGTCTCTACTGAAACAACAGAAGGTGCATTTTGAACCTTTAATTTTTTATGCAAATGTGTATGTGAAATAATAATAATAATGTGAAAATTATGTGAGGTTTCTCACTAAATAGGGACACAAGTGGTGCACTTTCTGTAGAAACTATGCAAATAGAATCAGGAAAAAAATCACAGACAGAACGTTTGATGTTCTGTTTAGTGTGTAATGAATATTTACTTCTTCTTAAAAACAAATATATGAAGTCACAATCTCATAATGAGAAGTCAAGATCTTAATGCAGTAAGGGGCACTTAAGAGGGACATTGGCTTTACACTAAGCTCTAAATCTCAAATCGCCCCCTTTCTTTAGCTTAGTCCAATTGTACCAGCTAGAGAGTTGAAATGTTTCCATTTAACCTTCAAATAAGCACCAGGTCACTGAGTTGTTTTTTTTTTTTTTTTTTGAGACTATGACAAATTATTAAGTTTTTAATTAAAAGCTTAAGACAAATTATTCAGCTTTAGATATTCGTCTTAACCTGAAGTATCTAAAGTAATTTTTATAAATATGACATTCCATATGTTCACTGTTATGTGCTCTGAAGGGTCTTCAGTAAATGGAGCATGTGACGTGTCAGAGAAGGCCGCTCTAGAGCAGTTCTCCAGTGGTCTGACTGAATTAGAATTAGGCACAGATGAGGTTTTTGTCATCTCCTCTGCACCCAACTCAGCCCAACTGCCCTTCTCTCCACATACTGTGAGTATCTGATTCTTCTGTGCATTGCTACATTCAGAAATGGATGAGAAACATTGATATCTTTTGTATATGCACTACCATTCAAAAGTGTAGGGTGAAAAACAATATTGTGAAATATTATTAAAGTTTTTAAAAACTATTTTAATAAACTTAAAAATGCAATTAATTCCTTTAAAGTTATTACTCTAGTCTTCAGTGTCACATGATCCTTCCGGAATCTAATGTACTGACTTGGTTCTTAAAAAAAAAAAAAAATCTTAACAAGAGAAAATCTTTTGAATGTATGTAAATACAAACTTTTGAATGTATTTGTGTAATATTTGTTCACATTAAAATATTAAACCCAGTAGCTTTTATTTTAATAAAAAAACAAGCACACTTTTCAAGCAGAATGTTTCATGAAATTTAAGTTATAAAACATTAGATATTAAAAATTGGATTAAAGGCTTTTTTTAACATTATTTGTATATTTTTTATTACATTTGAAAGTTCCTGTGTTGTTCACATTTCTTATTTTATGCATGTCTTATATTTATTTATTTTTCATTCTCATCTTCATTTCTCTTATTTAATTATTTTTTTATATTTATTTTTAAGTGTAATACAGTAACCAGTGATGACAAATGATTTTGTCCTGATGTGCAACAAAAAAGGGTTTATCAAAGTTTCTCCATTAGGAACAGTGAGGGAAACCGATTTCATACATCCACTGAAATCACAAAATAAAGTATGATTAAGTGATTTAAAGTGACGTTTGTTTTGAATAAATGTCCAGCGCATTATTTTTTTCAGATGCCACCTGGTTTGATTGTCTAATGCAACGTGTTCACATACTTTTGAGGGTCACTCTGCTATCTTTTAAATGTATATTATTTATGTAAATATGGTGCTTTTATTGCTCTGCTAGTACTAGAAGAGATACTCTGTTTACTTTTGCTTTGTTGTTTCAAGTGTTCTTGATGACACTGAGTTGTTTTCAGCTTGAATAGCTGGTGCAGTGTAGTGCGCTGATGGATGCCAAGCTTCATGGTGTGTGGTGATGTTCTGGATGAGGGGCAGAGAACTAGCTCTTCACTAGAGGCTGCTGGGATGCGGAGACTCTGGCAGCCGGAGGGGAGCTGGCTCGCTAATAGCTCTGCCTAATGAATGCTATCTGCCTGTAGCCAATTTCCCAGCTCAGCTCTGTGTGCTTCTGTGCAAGTGTGTGGTCCATGCTGCTTTGGCTCTGAAATGTGGCATGAAAAATTTGCCAAGCTGTGGCATCCGAGGAGGTTTGAGAAGAATCAAAAACCTGCATCTCTGGTGTCCGGCTGCGTTTCTGCTCGCTGTTTGGCGCTGTAGGTTCTTTATCCTTTTTTGTTTTTGCCTTCACCCCACAACCGGACAATTTGGTATTGTTTTGGTTAAAAATATGAAACCGTGCCAGAACAGCTCAAGATTAATTCCGGCATAATACTCATATAGTCGAGGAGATTGAGGAGAGACCACCTCCCCCCCTCCCCCCCCCACACACACGATTGTAAAGCGCTTTGGGTGTACAACAATACACAATAAAGCTCTATATAAATGCATCATTCATTCATTCATTCAAACATGGGGAGCTGTTGGAGATCATGTGTGAGGACTGTCATGATGAGAAAAGCCCTTCTGATACTCACCCACACGCTGCACATGTGCGATTAACAGCTGACTGACACATTTGGAGGTCTTTGCCTGTCGTGGACCCCAGTCTCTGCCGCGGTGCCTGAAGCTGCTCAAGAGAAGGGGAGAAATTCTTTTCAATCTTACTAAAGCAACTCCTGAAGCAGCAGCTGGTCTCTCTGTATATAGATTCCCTGACTTCTCAGATTCATACTGCACTGAAAGCTTGAAATCCAAGCCAAATTCTTACATTTATTAGTTTTATCATTGATGCAAGTTTATTCATTATAAAATTTAATTTTGAGCCATTTTTGGCCATTTATGAAGCTCAAATTATTTAGTTTCTGAATGGGTCCAGTGGGGGAACTTTGTAAGCCGCTTTCCTGCCTGATTAATTGTATTATCAAGCTAATAACAGTGGTATTATAGATTATGTTGTGCAATGTTAGTGGTTTCCTGTTTTCGCAATTATTTGGAATTTCCCCCCTTTTTTGTTTTTGTTTTGAGATTTCCTTTTTGGTGTATTTTGTGTTTGTATTTTTTTTCCTTGTTGTAACTTAATTGTAAGTCTGTTAAATGAATAAATGTAAATGTAAATAACAATTTGATAAAAAAAAATACAGTAAAATCAGTAATATTGTGAAATATTATTACAACTTAAGTTCTATTTTATTGATTTTTGTTTTAGTAATTTATTTGTGTTGGCAAAACTGAATTTTCAGCTGCCATTAATAGCATTTATTTGAAATGAAAATATATTTTGTCTTTATTGTCATGTTTCGTTAATGGAATGCATCCTTGCAAAAAAAGTGTTGTTGTTGTTTTTTAAGATGCAGTCATGTTGACAAAAGAGATGAGTTTTTCAGCTGTCGCTTGAAAATTGTCAGGAATTCAGCATTCTGGTTGGGGGTGGGAAGATCATTCCACCATTCAGGAATGGTGAACGACAGAGGGATTTTTTTAGTGTTTGTCAGTTGTACAGGACCTACTTCTAAATTAGTTCTGTCTTTTATAGCAACGAGAGCGTTTTCTGAGGCACAGTGACACGGGACCCAGCCGTCCCTTTGACTGGCCGACTCCAGACCAAGCACTGCCTTCTGTGACAAAGAGCAGCCAGGCCGGATCGACAAACAGCACACGACCACGAGCATGGAGTGTCCGAACCTTCCAGGATCTCCTTCCTCCTCTTCCTCAACTCCATAAGAAATGGTGCAGCTGGAACTCTACCAGCCCATTCACCAAGCTGGTGGACAGTGTGAGTATTGATGCAGAAGGCATTTTTATCACATGTAGCTCACAAAAATATGATTAAAAGTTCATTAGTGAAATATTTAAAGACCATGTGCTTTTTATACTTTTTTTTATGCAACTGTAAAAAAAATAATAATAATAAGAATGACAACCTATCATGCAGACACATAAATGTGCTCCTAATGATGTCCATGGTCTTCTTCATCATAACATTCATCATAATTTTTTTTCCCTTAGGACTCTTTAATTCATTCAAGTACACAAGCACAGGTGGTGGCAAAAAAGTGTTTTTGGTACAACAATACAACACACACACACACACACACACACACACACACACACACACACACATATATATATATATATATATATATACTGTATATAGGCAAGGTAAGTTTATTTGTTTATTTCACACACACACACACATATATATATATTGCTTTTTTAAAT